TATAATAATAATACGTCCCCAAAAAAGCCACAAAAACATTCTGCCCGACGTGACACGCACAGCGATCAATCTCGCCGACTCGTCTTCTGTTTGCAGCCTTCACGCAGTGCCCCCACCGCCCCCCCTCCTCCCACCGCCCCCCCCCCTCCCACCGCCCACGTGTCTAGCTGTGTCCGAGTCGGCGATATTTGGACTCCACCACATCCACGGACGCACGCGGCACCGTGGATTTAGCCCATGGATCCGCTGATGCACATTCACCGTGGCAACGCGATTTGGTTAAAGCTCAAAAAGCTGGGCTCGATCCCGACCCTGACGCCTGCTGCATTTTGCATTTTGCGGTCTCTCTCTCTCTCCCCCTGTAGTCGCGTCGATTTCTCTGCGGCTCCTACGGTTTTCCCCTCCACATTTAGAATCAACAACACGCGCTTAAAGTATTTGGCTGCTTTACGTTTCAACGTGATAAGCCACTTCGTTAAGCTATCGTTTGAAACCAAGTCGTTTCTGAAAAAGAGCTATATATTTCGATTTAAAGCTTTCGTGACTGCAAGGATTCATCTTCTTTGGTTCTTTCGGTAAAGTCACGTAGAAGGGAAATAATAAAATAATGAAATATAACATTATACAAAATAAAAATAAACGTATGCTTATTTATTTATTATTTTATTATTTCCCTTCTACGTGACTTTTACCGAAACAACCAAGAAGGAAAAAAAAAGTTAAAATCGTTTAAAAAGCAGGCAGCCGGATAGCGCATGGAGCTTTCAATATACAGCACCTGTCGTGGACTACTGCGTGGGCATACCCAGGAGTGCGCACATCTCTCCGGGCAGTTAAGCAAAGTAAGTTTTGTAGTTTCGGGGCAGGGCACTCGAATGGTTAGCGACCCATCGTCACGAAGGGCGCTGGTGGAAGCGGACAAGGGGATGTCCCCCAGAAGAGATTGAGCGATGAGAGTCAGCTCGTGTGCAACTGCTTCGGTCGGATTATTGCATCAACGGGGTGGCGAGGGAGAACGATGGATGGGAGGGGTGGGGGTACGGGGCTGGGGGGGCGGCTTTCAATCAGCAGTGGATTGACCATGGCTGCTGATTTCACCACAGACCCCCCCCCCCCCTCCCTCCCAACGCTGATATTCTGAGCTTATGCCAAAATCAAAGGTTCTCAAGCGATCTGAGGCGTAATTACGCATAAACCAACGTGATCACTTTATGCATTTACGGATTAATCTCACAATACACGGATTCCGTGCCAGAGTCGGCGCTATTCGAGTCGTGCGCGCCGCGTGTGATGGGGCTCACGCGACCCCCCGCAGCCACTCGAGGCCCCTACAACTCGCAGCAATGTAAATACAAATGCGTTAAAAATTAGACAATCGATTCTCGGACGAAAGCGCGACGAATTAACCGAAATTATTAATCGAAAAAATGCAATCGAAATCATTAAATCGAGAGAACTAGTCGCTATTTAGAAACCAGCCTCGCAAAAACGGTGGTGTCAGCCTGGTCCCCAATGTATTCTGTGCACAAAAAAACACACACGAGAGCAAACGAAGCAGACTTTAAAGTCATGCAGAGATCCAGCAGCGTTTGTGTGGGCAAAACCTCTGTACCGGGGTTTTTTTTTAAACTTGAGAGTCAGATTCAGTTCAAACAAATCCTCTGCCACGTTTTCCACGTTTGCACAATCATCACTTTGCTGCCCTTTCATCACGGGCGTGTCATATAATTAGATACAATAAAATATAACATCCAGGGCACTCCATTCATAGACACACCACTGAAATAATCGGGATAAGTGAAAGATTATACAATGTTTGAACTTCAAAGCCCTCTCCCACACATCTCCCGCCAATCTCAATCAACTCGTTAAACCCTTTTTCCGCCACCCCGTCCTGTTCTGTTAACAGACGGAGTCACCGCTGGAGACATTATTCAATCACCTGTTGTGAAGTAAAGAGGTACATTTGCAATCAAGCGCGTGCGTCACCTATAAATGCATCTCAGAGACTGCCGGCAGCGTCCCTGTGATGTACGACCCGGTAAATACTCCAGCGACTCAATGCCCGATTCGCAAACACGACGATGAGCCACTCAATCCAACCGCGGATTGACCGTGGCGATGGGTCACCTATACAAGTGTAATCGCGGTTATGAAGGGGGGCGTGTCTTGGGTTTAAGGTGAAAGGCGGAGTCAGTAGGGAAGCTCCGGGTAACCTGCTCGAAGGTTCTGGAAGGGGGCGTGGCCGGAGGCGGGGCTTGGCCGTGCCGGAGTGTATATAAGGGGGACCCGAAGCAGAGGTTCGGTGCTCTTGCGGGGTCCTGGCTCCTGGCTGCGTCGCTGCTCGCCGTCATCTCTCTTCGTCGTCCGGGCCACGTGGACGATCTACAGCAAGGCTCTCATCGCCGCCGTCGCTGGGCTCGTCAGACAGCTGCGTCGTTGGACACCGACGACGGGGGTTGCGTAGAAGGGTCGGCTATGTGCAGCTACGTCGAGCGCCACATCGATGTATCGCCCAGCGTTGTGCTTAAAGTGTGAGAATAAATAAGGAGCCTTCTCTCGGAAGTCGCCCACTACACATGGATCACCTTGCACTTGTATAGAGTGCCGGTAGTGTCTCTGTGATGTAGGACCCGGTGACTGCTCCAGTGACTCAACGCCCGAGTCACGCCACTCCAGCTGCTGCAGATGCACTGCTCTCGCTGAGGCGCAACAATCCACCCACCAGCTCATTTGATCACTCCGCCTTTTTCTGAGAGGCATCTGCCCCCCCCCGTCCCCCCCGTTTGGCTGCTTCCGCCCGCTCTTCGTGACCAAACAGCTTCGGTGTAAACACGATGGTCCTTTGCTCTCTATCCACACACCGGCCCGTCTGAAAGGAGGAGACTCCCAGAGGACCCCCATGTGTCAGAATCAGAGTCTTTAATCGTCCCGGAGAAATAAAAAAAACCGACGGAACGTGAAGCTTTTTTTGCTGCTTTTTTTTGCATCAACAATCATCCTCACCAACGTTTTGTGAACAGCCGCGCAGTTATCGACCATCGATGAACCCGCCATCGATTTGAATGGTGACGCTTGTCATACGGGCAATCCAATCGTTCATCGAAGCACCAATTATGTACAATGTACCCCCCCCCCCCCCCCCACCAAAAAAAATATATACACGGTACGTATCTGTTGAATTCAAGGTAATATGATTTATGGAGGAAGAACTACCGTGCAGACACTGCTATGCCTCGCATCAAGTCGCCGTGAAGGTGTCCGATCTGGTCACATCTCACAAGATTTGGGCCGATGAGTGACCGCCGCTGGGGCTTGCCATGTGTTGTATTGAGCGCGGAGCCCCACAAATGAGGCGGTAGTTGCTGAGTGTGCGCGTGCCGTGAAGTCTGTGACCGCGTTGCTCAAACAATCCCAGCGTGGCGATGACAACGGATGGATGGATGCTATGGTTACTGAAAGGTGTTGCCGTTGCTTACAGAAGTTGATTAATACCGGAATCGTTGACCGCCTTTTACTCATTCATCCTTACGAGACCAGCCGGAGGTTAATCACCTTAGACTACCTGATTATTAGCAAGATGCCGGGGGAGTGAGCGAGAGAGAAATAACAAATCAGCGTTGGCAATGGAAATCACGAGATTGTTACAATGGTCAAACGACGACATTTACAGCCGCGATACGAATCACAAATTCTGGAATGGTAAAAAAAAAACACCACCACACACACACAAACGCGGACACCGCGACTCGTGACTACTGCCCGGGTCAAGATGCGTCAACGCGAGCGTCCGTCACGACCCCCGCCGCCCATCCTCGTCTCGATCCCCCACCCCACCAACCATTACCCCCGCGGAGACCACGGCAGCCGAGGTAACGGCGAGTACTGAATCTCTGTCGACGCGAGACGGGGCTACGGCGTTAATCCCCGGCGAGTTAATCACGCGCACTCGCTGAGCGCGGCGCGCGTCGACAAATTAATGGAACTAATTAATCAACCGCGGTAATTTCGCACGCGCTGGCGCACCACCCCCCCCCCCCCCCCCCCCCACCTTTACACCCGCGACCACAATTTTGGAACGCGACGCTGGGAGGAGAGGGTTGGGTGGTTGGGGTGGGTTTGGGGTGGGTAGGGTGGTTGGGTGGTTGGAGGTGGGTGGAGTGGATGGGGTGGTTGGGGGTGGTTAGGGTGGGTGGGGAGATTGGGGTGGGTGGGGTGGGCGGGGTGGTGGGGGTGGGTGGGTAAGAAGGGAAGCGAATGGAACCCATAGTTCAGCGACCCCGTCTCCGCTTGTGATAAATACATAAAAACAAACACGTGTCTTGGGACTCCACGAGGCTTTTTAAGATTTAAAACGGAAGGAAAAAAACACAATTGTCGCTCTACTAAGTGGACTCCCTCTCAACAGCAGCAGCACTCTTTGCCGATGCGAGTAGGGCCAGACGAAAAAAGAGTTGTGATTGCTTGTGTTGCCATCGAAATATCTACGTGGCTTTACCGAAAGACCCAAAGAATATGTGCGTATGTTTTTTTCCACCTCTGCACGAGACACGGCAAAAACAAACACAAATACGTCCCGTGAACAATCGCGACGTACTTTTTTTTCCATTGCGCTCAGCACGGCAGCGAGTTCAGAAGCGAGTAATTCAAATAAATAATGACATCGACAAAATCAGGACTTCGTTTCTGATGGGATAATTTGTTTCCAGAGACCCCTGAACATATCATTTCCAGAGCATCATTCCCCAACAGCTCCAGTTGACATTAAGCCCCTTATCATCATCGTGATCATCATCGTGATCATCATCGTAATCATGGAGTGCCGCGGTGATGAGATGGCTAACTCCCTCGCCTGATATACAGGAGGGCATGGGTTCGATCCCGACCATGGCACCTGCATATTTGGAGTTTGCGTGTCTCTCTCTTCCTGTGGTCGCGTGGATTTTTCTCCGGGTCTTCCGGTTTTTCTCTCAACATTTAGAATCTACAATACGCGTTTAGAGTATTTGTCTGCTATAAATGTCGACGTGATAAGCTACTTGGTCGAGCTCTCATTTGTAGCCAGGCCGCTTTTGAAACTTGAGCTGTGTAGCTCAGGGGGCATTAGCTGGTAAAATAAAAAGTGTGTGTTTCGTTAGTCTGTGTCCAACATAAACAGAGCTCCTCCGGCGCGTTGGAAAAGAGGGCGAGCGAGTGAGCGAGCAAGCGAGCGACTCGCAATCGGAAGGGTTGCGAGTTTAACTCCCGGTTGAGTCGAGGGGTTGACTTCATCCCATCTCGGCCCATCCATCATCCCGCCCTCTGGGGTGGGATGATGAAAATCAATAAAACAAAAACTCCACATGATAAGCCACGCTCACATTTGTGCGAGCCACGTCGCTTCTGAAAAAAGGGGCTACACAGCTCAGTGGGCCTTACCTGGTAAAATGAAAAGAAAATATAAAAAAAAAATAGTGCAACAGTTTATTACAGTTATCATGAATCTGGCTGAGCGGTCACCCCTACAGCACCGTGTGCTCAAAGAGCACAACTTGGGGCCCGTCCTCCTCGCACAGCCTCAGGAGCAGCGCGCGGTCCAGCTCTACGGTGCTGATGGGCATCGCGGGGGGCGCCGGCGGCGAACGGGGCCGCGCCGTGGGCTCGGAGGGCCCGCACGAGGGTCGGTATCGCGGAGGCAGCGACCTCGTCGAGCAGCGCGACGACTCCACGATGCCGCCGCCGTCTCCGTCGCGCGTCCTCAGCCGCCTCCAGAGCCGCGACGCGGCCACGCCGGACGCGGCGCTGACGCAGAGCGACACGATGAGCAGGCCGAGCACCGCGTTGAAGGCCGCGTCGGCCTCCGCGGCGCGGCCGTCGCAGGGAGGCCCCGGCCGAGGCGAGCGCCCCCCCGGCTCCGCCTGGGATCCCGTGGCCGCCGACAACCCGGACGCGGCGCCGTCAGAGCTGCGCTTTGAGGCGTACGACGTCGGGACGCGTCGCCCCTCGACGCGGCCGCGTGGATGTTTCCGTGCGAGCGCGCTGACGTTTCTCGAGCGAAGCCGCGGCGCCACGCTGGCGTGGAGAAGGGGCGAGGCGGGCGACTGCGAACGCGCCTCCTCCACCAGCTCCTCCTCCACCTCCTCCACCACCTCCTCCTCCTCCACCGCCTCCTCCTCTTCGCCCTCGGACGTGTGAGAGCCCCGGACGTGGCAGTGGCCCAGCGACTCCCGCGGGACTCTGTCCAGGCGCTGGCCCCGCAGCCGCTCGGGGAACTGGCAGCGGACGTCGACGTGGGCCACCGCCGCCGCCGCCGTCGCCATCCAGAGCCAGAGGGGCAGCGCGCCGCAGTCGCAGAGCAGGGGGTTGCCGCCGAGCTGGAGTCGAGCGAGCGACGCGGAGGAGACGAACGGCTCGGGGGAGACGCGGGACAGCCGATTCGATGCGAGCACGAGCACGCGCAAGGAGGCGGATGGGCCGGCGAGCAAGTCGTCGGCCAGCGCGGTCAGCGAGTTCCCGTCGAGGTGGAGCTCCTCGAGTTTCACGAGGGGCCTGAGGACGTCGGCGCTGAGGGCCTTCAGGTGGTTCCTTCTCAGGTACAGGCGCTCGGTGTTGCCCAGTCCGGCGAAGCCGTTCTCAGCTATCGCCAGCAACTGCATGTCGTCGAGAATGAGGTGTACCAGCTTGGCAAGTCCTCTGAAAGCGAAGGGATGAATCCGCGAGATGCGGTTGCCAGAGACGACCAGCCGGTCGAGGTTCTTGAGCCTCGCGAGGGCGCTCGATGGAATCTGAGTCAGGTTGTTATTGGCCAGGGAGAGACTGCGGAGTTCCGAACGCATGGCGAAGGCCGCGTGCGAGACGCTCGCGATGTCATTGTCGTCAAGGCTGAGCGTCGACATCCTCCGCACGCCCGCAAAGAGCCCGTCCCTCACGCCCTGCAGCAGGTTGTTCTGCAGCTGCAGGCGACGCAGCGAGGTCAACTCCAGAAAAACATTCCTGGGCAGCACGTCGATGAGGTTATCGTGCAGCCGCAGGTCCTGGAGGTTGGCCAGCCCGCCGAACGCGCCGACTTCCAGCCTGCGCAGGCCGTTGCCGCCGAGCGAGAGGCGACGCAGGCCGCCGAGGCTGGAGAACGCCTCGGACCGGAGGCGCGAGAGGCCGCAGTTGTCCAGCAGCAGCGCGGAGAGCCGGGACAGCGCGCGGACGTCGGACGGCAGCACGCGCCGGAGCAGGCGGTTGCCGCTCAGCTGCAGCGCGGTGGTTGAGCGGGGCAAGTGCCTGGGGAAGGTGACGAGGCCCGCGTCCTGGCAGGAGACGAGGCCTCCGCGGCAGCGGTGGCACGGCGCGGGGCACGGCTGGGCGGCGGCACCCCGGAGGGTGGCGAAGAGGACCATGAGGATGAGCGGCCGGAGGAGGAGGAGGAAGGAGCTAGACGCGGTCATGGTGCGCGCCGGATAAATATTCGCCCCGAGTTCACGATGGGATTCGTGGGGCAATCACGCGAGAGTGGAACGCATCCTGAATGGACGTATCGCCAGCAACACGTGACAGTACTGAAATGTTTAAGTGTTGTGGGTTTTACTCTCCCAACACACCGGTGTGACGAACGAGCAGCTAATCGACACGTTTTGTTCACCAGACAAACCTTTGCTAACTGGCTGCGTCGGGTGACGGCGGGTTAACGACACGTTTATATTTACGCGATCTAACCCTACACACACACAAACCGTTAATATGGATATGTATATACGTACGACTTCTTTCGCACCGTACGTAGCCAGGCGCGCTAATCGGAGTCTCGAAGTGAAGAGTATTCTTCTCACCGTAGCGTTGAGCCTGTGAGTGCCTTTTCGTCGTCTGTCGGCAAGCGATGCGTCGAGAGGTGTCCAGTTCGCTCACTACATCGGGAGCCCTCTTCACTCCTCCAACGGAACGCACGCGACCAGTCAATAATGGTGATGATGGCGATGATGATATTCACAAACGCATTGCGTGTTCTAGGAAATGCAGAACCCAAGCGCCAAGGTACGCGCGTCCATGAACTGCAGCGAGGCGCGCTTATTGTGGGAAAAAAGAAGCTTTGCGTGAAGAGAAAATAATAATAAAAAAACAATTCCCTGCCATGTAAAAAAAATATATAAAGTTTTACGAGCAGCATCCTGCCGGAATTTCCTCTGCAAAAGGGAAGCTCTGACGCTCATCCGAAGTGGAACGTCGAGATCCTCTTGCATTCTGGGTAGAACATCTCCCCCAGACCCCCCCCCCCCCCAACTCGCGTTCCATCTTCAGCGACCGCGCCACGGATGCCCTTGCCTGGGACGGGGTCACAAAGCCGCCGGGCGTGCGACCCCGACGGAAACGACTTTCTTTTTTACTGCTCCAGCAATGCCGCTCGGCGAGCGTCTTCGTCCCGTCGGCCTGCTCGCCCTGGGCGCGTCGTCGTTTAACTTTTTATCCGAACGCAATTTGGATTTACACAGCTAGCGTCGTGCGTTCGCTCTTCCTCTACGCCAGGCGGAGGTGGGGGCAAACAAAACAACAAGAAGAGCCGTTTATGTTTCGAATTCGGTATAAAAAAAATGAGAATCCGGATTTCAAAAGCCGCAATGCGTGTGGTGAATATGAGACCGTTGGTTGTCTAACAAAGAACTGTCATGAAGACAGAGTCCTTGAAGAGACGCGTGTGGCTCCGCAGCCACAGGCTGACGACCCCTGTCCTTGGTGCACTGAACTTCCATGGTAAACTCGACTTGTGAACTGGACTTCCATGGTGAACTCGACTTGTGAACTGGACTTCCATGGTGAACTGGACTTCCATGGTGAACTCGACTTGTGAACTGGACTTCCATGGTAAACTGGACTTCCATGGTGAACTGAACTTCCACGGTGAACTTGACTTTCATGGTGAACTGAACTTCCATGGTAAATTGGACTTCTATGGACTTCCATGGTAAACTGGACTTCCATGGTGAACTGAACTTCCACGGTGAACTTGACTTTCATGGTGAACTGAACTTCCATGGTAAACTGGACTTCCATGGTGAACTGAACTTCCATGGTGAACTTGACTTTCATGGTGAACTGAACTTCCATGGTAAACTGGACTTCCATGGACTTCCATGATAAACTGGACTTCCATGGTGAACTGGACTTGTGAACTGGACTTCCATGGTGAACTGGACTTGTGAACTGGACTTCCATGGTGAACTGGACTTCCATGGTGAACTCGACTTGTGAACTGGACTTCCATGGTGAACTGGACTTGTGAACTGGACTTCCATGGTGAACTGGACTTCCATGGTGAACTCGACTTGTGAACTGGACTTCCATGGTAAACTGGACTTCCATGGTGAACTGAACTTCCATGGTGAACTTGATTTTCATGGTGAACTGAACTTCCATGGTAAACTGGACTTCCATGGACTTCCATGGTAAACTGGACTTCCATGGTGAACTGAACTTCCACGGTGAACTTGACTTTCATGGTGAACTGAACTTCCATGGTAAACTGGACTTCCATGGACTTCCATGATAAACTGGACTTCCATGGTGAACTGGACTTTCATGGTAAACTGGACTTCCATAGTAAACTGGACTTTCATGGTGAACTGGACTTCCATGGTCAACTGAACTTCCATGGTAAACTGGACTTCCGTGGACTTCCATGCTAAACTGGACTTCCATGGTGAACTGGACTTCCATGGTGAACTCTCTGTTCCCGAAGCGGTACGGAACCAGTGGGAGTGTTCACTCTGCAGAGAGACGGACCCGGTCAGTCATAGCCAGAGGATAACAAAAGAACGGCCTGGAGTCTGAACTTGAACATGGCCGGTCGTTTATGTGTGTGTGTTTGTTCCTAGGAGAAGAAGGCCATAACTTCATCGAAGGTTCAAACGCTTGGGTTAGGTGCACTTTGAGGCCACGTGAAATGTATGTTGATGCGTGGTTGAACTTCTTTCGCACCGTACGTAGCCAACCGTGCTCATCGGAGGTGCGAACGGGTTTTTGAAATATTAAAGAGCTTTTGGCAGGATATCTACATGCCCATGTGTTGTGGGTTAACTGAGCGTCATACAAAAATCCACCGTATAGCCTTCAGCATAATGTTGGGGCAAGTGCTGTTATCAAGCACACACACACACAGTATGTGAAATCACAATGGGGTTTTCTTCGCTTAAGGGGAAGGAAAAGTGGTGGTGGCTGGGGAGTTAGAGAAGCTGGTTTATGGGGGTGGTTTAGTAAATAAATACAAAGGACCTTTAACTTTTTGTTCAAATCGAAGGGAAGGAAGTATGCCTTCCTGCGGCGAGGCTTGGCTGCTTAACACAATGACACCCACGCCCATTTCGTTTGGCAGCTGTGCCGTGTGACGAACGATAGCTTAAAAAAAAAACTACGAATGCAGGTCCTTTGTCAATCCACTGCTGGATGAATGTAATTGCCACCGTGCCGTGTGGCTTTTATTAGGTCAACTTGAGCAGACCTCACCACAACGCTCGATTGCGGGTCGATGAAGGGACAACCGGGACCGGTTTCAGGCCACCTTTGTCTCGCCTGTGTTGTTGATATTTATACCTGAAGGCATTGGAGCGCCACGGTAGCGAGATGTTAACTACCTCGCCTGGTATGCAGGAGGTCGTGGGTTCCATCACGACCCCGACGCTTGCTGCTCTATATTTGGAGTTTGTGGTGTCTCTTTCCTCCCGTGGTCGCTTGGATTCTTTCTCCAGGTTCTCCCCTTTTTCCCTCCACATTGAGAATCAAGATCACGCGTTTAGAGTATTTAGCTGCTTTAAACATCCACATGGTAAGCCGCTTCGTTGAGCTATCATTCGTGATGGCCAGGTCGCTTCTAAAAAAAAAAGAGCTAGATAGCTCAGTGGGCTTTTCCGGGTAAAATCCGAATCCAGGGTGTTGACATCAACTTTCTGGGGCCATTCTGGGACACAGTTGCAATGCGCGCTCGCTAGCTGCAACAATCCCAAGGTAGAAATGTCCTCATCTGACAACACGACCACGGCTCCTCTCTTGAGTGCACATCTGGAATATAACTGGGAATATAAAACAACAACACTACAAGACAAACCGATGTTGACCAGCCGAGTTCGGTTCCCGCTCACGGCCAACACCGGTGACGATTATATGAATCGGTCCAGGGGCCTCCCCTAGGTCGACTCAGCCACAAATGAGCAACTGGTGCGGCGTGTAAAAATCACCGTCACTGGGGAGACAGAGGCGGTCGGGCGTAGTTTTGGTTATCCTGTACCGTGCCGGCCTTCATAGGTGCTCGCTAACAGCACTTGCCAAAACCGTCTACCTTTGCCTTTGTTTGTATGTTGATTTTTTTTTCGCACCGTACGTAGCCAACCGCGGTGCTAATCGGAAGGTGCCGGGGAAGGGCAAGAAACCGAACACAAAAGGCAGTTCTCAAGAAATGAGTTTTACGTAACTCAGAGAGAGGATGGAGATGATGACGCGCTTTGTGATAACGACGCCAAAGAGTGCGGGGACCAATCTCACCGCCTCTCTTCTTATCTCCACCCACCATTCTCCCCCTCTCCCCCCGGCTCCATCTTCCATTCGGGAGACGCTAGACACATCGCAAACGAGACGCCCATTACCGCCAATGACGCTTCGTCCGCGACAATCAGCGCAAAGCGAATTCCTCGCAAAGGAACGTGAAGGGGTTTTGAATGGCGGTGGCGTGGCGGGGTGGGTAGGCGGGGAGTCGGCACGTGCACGCGAGCGCCCGAGCGAGCGCGCGCGTGCACGTGTGTGTTTGGGGAGTGGTGGCGCTGCGGTGAGCGCACCGCGCTATGAAACCAGCCAGCAACGGCCCGAGTTCAACTCCCGCTCACGACCGACGACGGTGACGGTCCTGGGCCCTCCCCTGCCTCTCCCTCTGACACTGGTGGGCAGTGTCATGAGGGGAGGGCTAATTTAGATTTTTGGCCTTTCCCATCATGGCGTTTGTAACCACCACAGCGGCCAAATGGGGGCTCTGGACGGGTGCGAGGGGCTGGTAACCCCTCCACCTTCAATTAATTACCACAAAACCACGTCTAAAATATCTAATTAAAAAGCTTGTGCCGGAGGCCCTGGGGGGACAGGCGTCTATGACGTCTCCTGGCTAAACTCCATTTGACGGAGCCAGGAGATTGAATCTTTATCCTCGGGGCTCCTCCAGAAACAATAAAAAATCACTGAGGGTGGCCACGTGGAATGTTCGAACACTCACTGCGAAGCAGAGGCTGCCACTCATCTGTTGGGAGCTGGACCAGTACTGCCTGGATCTCTGTGGTATTCATGAGGTCCGGTGGACCGGTTCTGGCTCATGCCACCATGAAGGGTGGACAGTCCTCTCTCGGGGCAGGATACTGCCAAACAACAGGGAGTGGCTCTTCTTCTGAACAAAAGAATGAAGGGGGCGTGGGAGCGTGGCGGTGACGTGTGGGAAGCAGTAAGCCCCAGACTACTTTGGGCTCGCCTTCCCATCAACTGGAGGCGAGGATCGGTGGTCGTGGTTAATTATGCCCCCACCGAAGACGAATATCCGTGGAGGGATGCAGGCAAGGCCGATGAGTCAGATGGCTTCTATGACCTCCTGTCACAGGTGCTAGCTAAAGTGGCCCCACGGGATAGAGTCACCCTGTTGGGCGACTTCAGTGCCCGAGTTGGTCATGATGCTGGCACCTGGTCTGGAGTGATTGGAAGGCATGGGCCAGATCACCTCAATAACAACAGTAGGAGGCTGCTAGATTTTTGTGCAGCCCATGGGCTTGTAATTACCAATACGCTGTTCCGGCATCGGCGCATCCACACAACATCATGGATGCATGCCAGGTCCAAGCAAGAACATCTGCTGGACTACATAGTGACGGACCAGCGGATGCGGGCCCATGTCCTTGACGCCAGGACCTACCGTGGAGCTGATCTGCCCTCTGACCATCGACTAGTCATCTGTAAGATGCGCCTGCCATTCTTCCACTCCGGTGGTGGGTGTACACCCAGGACCCCATTCAAACCCAAGGTGGCCTGGTCTCAGCTAGCTGATGAAAGTTGCAAGCGAGAATTTAATCGGCTGGGGTTGGCATCGTCCCCCACTCCTCCAAATGTTGAGGGGAAATGGGCAAGGTTTAGGACTGTGGCTCATGCAGCT